TATATATATATATATGTGTGTATGCGTGTGTGTGTGTCATTTCCCACTCGAGGGCCAACAGTACTCGAAGAAGGCTTTGGCGCTTGGGGTGCTACCGGTCTGGCAAAAGTTGAAAGGGCGTGGTCGGAAAGCATCTGTAGTCCTGGCAACTGAAAGTCTACAGGAGCCATGGCCAATGGTCTCGGTGTAATGGCCTTTCGTCAATCGGCCAATAAGTCATGTTTGCATGTGTACATACGTGTGTGTGTGTGTGTGTGTGTGTGTGTGTGTGTGTGCAGACGGTTTGGACATTAAAAGGCCTGGCCCAAGGCCTCGAGTGTGAAGACAGTTGGGAAGAGGATCATTGGGCTGGCCAAGGGTTGTGGTAACAGCAAGACGAATTCCGAGGTGGAGATGGGGTAAACCAATGCAGTCATGGCAACTGACTGGAAGAGGGGAGAATGAGGGAGTGAAAGAATGAGAGAAGATGCGAAAGCTTAAGAGCCTGAGCCTACGCCTGGTCGTGTTATTTATGCTTGTTAGCGTGTAAGATAGTGCTTCTGAAAAGAGGCAGCTGACGTGACCAATTAGGGAGAGGGTTAAAGCAGCAAATGTGGCCGTGTCAATGCCTTCCTGCGCAAGTTACACACACACACACACACACACACATACATACAAAGGTATGCACAAATGAGTGCCACTGATAGCTCGGTTGTCAAGTCGTCTCGACTCCGACCAGTGACTGTTTCAACTGGCGTCTGATTGGCTCGAGGAGGGGTCCACTTGTTGTTGCGATGGTCGTGATGAGGTCCCAATCGAAAGACGTTTCGGCTCGCCTGCTCGTTGCCATAACAATCAACTCAGCCTACCGGACTCGACGGTCGACTCAAGCGAGGCTTTTTTGGAATCTACACTTTCGTTATTTCTCCCAACGAAACCGTTGACACCGACCAAGTTGAGGAGCATCAGTAATCAGCTGCTGAAGCGAAAATAAGTCATAACAATTGAGCATGTTTTGTTGCTATGGCTTTTTGAAGAATAAAGCCTTTCTGTTCGTGCGAAAGTGTGTCTGACCAAGGTTTATTCGAGGGTTGATCTCATCACAAAATGACGACTGAGTTACGTCGATCCCTCGTTTCAGGGGCATGGGACGTACAGGATTACGCAATTTCATTCATGCATTTTCTTGCTTCATTAAGCCTTGAGGACCCAAGCCTGACGTTGGGCTTGCCCATATTGCGTACAGACGCTAACACACACACACACACACACACACACAAACATGCATGACCACTAAAGTATGGGTACCTTGTTTAATGCCGATTTATGATTGAGTAGGATAGAGGCGGATAGTATTTTTGACTTGGCAACTCGAAGCTTTTACAAGAAGGAATTTCAGTTTTGAGGAGGTGCTTCTTGTGAAATGACGCACTCAAAGAAAAGATGGAGAATGCCTCATTGACTGCGTCAACCTGAACATCATAACAAAGTCAAACACGAATATCTCTACGACAATCTGATGTAAAGAGAATCATTGAAACCCAGCTATCAAATCAAATGCGAGATGCTGTCGAGATGTACAGATTCATGTTCTTAGTTGGGCCCTTGTTTGTGATTGGTTCCGGTCAGTCTGACCAATCATGTTCATTGGCTGGTGGGAGAAACGCTGGCTTTAACAGCCTCTGTAAAGTTGAAATTCGAACTTTAATTGTTCAGATGAACAATCTCACTTCACAAAAATATAGTATCAGAAAGTTTTTCTTTCTAATAACAAATAGTAATATTTGAATAGAATCAAACTTTTACGGAGGGAAAGTTAGTTGAAATGAATTTGTGACTATTAATAGATTATTTATATGATGGAGTAATAAGAGGACTGTTAGTTAAATTCTCCAAAAATCATATGAGTAGAACTAACATTTCCACTAAATTTCGCATGGATTTTCTTCCAAAAAGCTATTCTTATCCAAGATGGGCGACAGTCTTGTCAACACTCTCAGTAGGAATGAAAAACCTACTTATAAACAAATAATAAGTAGTCTAGTCGACTGATATAACAAATACAACATTGTTTCATCGGCAATCCTTAAATTTCACATCTTCCCTGTGATAAAATAGCACTCGCGGTAGATTTGTGTAGTAGTTAACGTGTCAAGGTAATACGTCGCAGTGTCATGGTCTAAGTCCCGCTGGGGGTGTTGATAAGACCTAGACGAGGTGGAAACCAGAGATCACTCCAGTCAACAGAAGAATACCTTTTGGGCAAGGAACACAATGAGAAAGTGAATAGAAATTGTGTGAAAATGCAACTACCAGTCCTTCGTCTCTTCGAACGAAATAGGCTCATATGAGATGTATTCACACTATTTCGTTTAAGGTGATGAAGGAGTGGTAATAGAATTTTCCCACAACGATATGAGCAGACCTGACGTCTTCATTGAATTTCACAGAACCTAGCTTTCCCAAAAGTTGTTCTCATCCAAGCTGGAGTGGACTGCAGCTTCGACCTCGCCTCGTTTGGTCTTCTCAACACCTCCAACGGGAGTCGAACCGTGATAATGAGGCATGTGAATTTTGACACTTTAGCCACTCGGCCAAAATGTCATGTGTGCCCTTGGGTCACGGGGCAGATATGAATTTCAAGGAAGGCACATTCTTTGGTGGGATTGTCGATGAAGCAAACGTATTTTTGCTATAGCAATCGACTACACTACTTATTTTTCGTATGTAAGTAGAGTTTCGAGACCTCGTTTTAGCAATTTGATCGTGTTGTCAATGCGACTCAGTTGGATGCACCTTGTCCGAACTCCTCTACTATAACAGCTATCATATTTCGAGGCGTCGGATCGCTGACTTGGTACATTCTCAGGCGTTTCGCCGGCATCGTCAGCACCAAGCAACAATTCATCAAAGAGACAAGATGAATTGTAGCTCAATGCTGACGATGTCGGCGAAATGTCTGACAATGAACCAAGTCAACGGTCCAACACTGGGAATTATCATAACTACTCAAGTAGAAATCGTCGGTCAAAATGAGTCCAACTAAGTTGCCATGACAACACGACCACGTCAGAGCTGTGCCAGGTCTTGCCACCTCAATCAGGCATCGGATGATCCGGTTGGTTACCTCACGCTTACTCGTCCTGCTTGCAGATGGATGCGGTGATGGCTGTTTCTTTGCCACAAATAAATTAAACTGATTGTCAGTTCATAAGTATGATTTCGGGATTACCATTAAATCAATTAAATGAGATGTATTAAGCCTATTTCGTTCCATTTGCTGAAGGACTGGTAGTTGAAGTTTCTCACAATCACATGAGTAGACCTTACGTTACCCATGCATTTCACATGTTCTTACTTTTTCAAAAGTTGTTCCCATCGAGGGCGGATTACAGTTTCGACCTCGCCTAGTTCTTCTCGACCCCCTTAGTGGGATTCGAGCCGTGTCAGTGCAACATGCAATCTCACATTGACACGAGTGCCTTTGGATCACACAGAAGATGTGCATTTCAAGGTGGTTTAGGCATTTTTCCATATCACATTCTTCGGTGGGATTGCCGATGAACCGCTGCTATATTTGCAATGACAAGTGACTACACTACTTACTTTTCGCACGAGTAGACAAAGCAAGGCCATGTGAAATTGAATAAAAAGGTCAGGTCTATTCATAACATTGTTTGAAAATTCAACTACTCCTCCTTCATCACATTAAATGAAATAGGATGTATATATCTTTGATGAACTTAGCTAATGTTGAATATATGAAGACCAAGATGGTGTGGCTCTCGGTATGGCCGTAGTCTCCTTTCGATGCATAGGAGTGAGTTTACTTTAATATGAGATG